TACCTCGCCTTGCGGCGAGATCTAGAGCATTTGGAACATCTTGGAAGGTTTTGGAAAATGCTAGAATTTTATGGTACATTTCAAACAAATTTAACAATGCCTGGAATAATTGAAGAATTTTCCAAATGATTCCTGAATCTTCTAGAAGATTCTGTAGTAGGCTGGACTATTCTACAACTTTCTAGAACCTTCCATCATTATCCCAAGATTTAAAGGATTGAAGAGATTTTTTCAAACGATTCTCGAATTTTCGAGAAGACTCCAATAATTTCTAGAAAGTTCCATAATGTTCTAGAACATTCTATAAAGATTTGACAATATTTTATGGATTGAAGTGAGTTTTCCAGACGATTCTGGAATTTTTGAGAAGATTCCAGAAATTTCTAGAGAGTTCCATAATGTTCTGGAACATTCCATGATTTTCCGAAGAAACGCACATCTCAAATTATATAGTAGTAGGGGAAGGTGGGGCAAAGTGGAACGTTTGTCATTGACTCAAAATCACAATATCTTAGTTTATAAACGAAGATATCAAGAATTTAAGTGGATCAGAAACGTTCCACTTTGCCCCACTCGCCTCTATGATCTTCATGTCATTCGGGAGCTTTAACCTCAACATCGCACGAAGGACAATTAAATATTAACGAAAACCACATTCAGTACTTACCACGTCTTCCGTATGGGATGGGAAAATCACTACAACACTTGAATTAATTGAATTAAGAATAATATGAATTGATATTGAATGGATGAAACAGTGAACAAAGTGAGCTCAGAGAAATTTCACTCAAACACATCAATTAATCAATTAATTAATCGTTTGAATGGATGGATGAATGAGATGAATGACGTCGATGGTTATGTGAGGAAATATTGATAATAGTGAAAATATTCAGTGAATTGATTCGATGAAAAACTCTGGAAAATGCACTGTCACTTCAAAGCACTGAAATATTTTGCACTGGCGGAGGCATAAGCCGGCTTGGTGTGCGCCGGTTATTGCGCCAAATATTCCGCAATGCGCATGCGTCGGCGGTGGTGGGGGAAACTCGGCCCGAGAGCCCGAGGACCAGTCTCATACAGTCGCGACAATAGTAGTCCCGCTATGACAGGGACAGGTTCGGAGGGGGATTGTTGTCCTCCTTGTACTCAATGTTTACTTTATGTTTTTCAGTTGATTTATTCGCCGACTAATTAATATTAAGGGATGAAACAAAGACTGTTCAATGGAGAATTAAATTCCCTATCCTTCAACCCCAGTTTCATTCCTTAATCTCCGTAATAAAAAAATAAAAACGGCGACGAAAGTCGCGGCACTATGAAAAACTCAATGGTTTCTCGGCGCACAGCGCTTCCCCATTAATTCGCCCGCTAATTAAAAAATCGTCTCTTTTCTCCTAATTAATATTAAGGGATGAAACAAAGACTGTTCAATGGAGAATTAAATTCCCTATCCTTCAACCCCAGTTTCATTCCTTAATCTCCGTAATAAAAAAATAAAAACGGCGACGAAAGTCGCGGCACTATGAAAAACTCAATGGTTTCTCGGCGCACAGCGCTTCCCCATTAATTCGCCCGCTAATTAAAAAATCGTCTCTTTTCTCCTAATTAATATTAAGGGATGAAACAAAGACTGTTCAATGGAGAATTAAATTCCCTATCCTTCAACCCCAGTTTCATTCCTTAATCTCCGTAATAAAAAAATAAAAACGGCGACGAAAGTCGCGGCACTATGAAAAACTCAATGGTTTCTCGGCGCACAGCGCTTCCCCATTAATTCGCCCGCTAATTAAAAAATCGTCTCTTTTCTCCTAATTAATATTAAGGGATGAAACAAAGACTGTTCAATGGAGAATTAAATTCCCTATCCTTCAACCCCAGTTTCATTCCTTAATCTCCGTAATAAAAAAATAAAAACGGCGACGAAAGTCGCGGCACTATGAAAAACTCAATGGTTTCTCGGCGCACAGCGCTTCCCCATTAATTCGCCCGCTAATTAAAAAATCGTCTCTTTTCTCCTAATTAATATTAAGGGATGAAACAAAGACTGTTCAATGGAGAATTAAATTCCCTATCCTTCAACCCCAGTTTCATTCCTTAATCTCCGTAATAAAAAAATAAAAACGGCGACGAAAGTCGCGGCACTATGAAAAACTCAATGGTTTCTCGGCGCACAGCGCTTCCCCATTAATTCGCCCGCTAATTAAAAAATCGTCTCTTTTCTCCTAATTAATATTAAGGGATGAAACAAAGACTGTTCAATGGAGAATTAAATTCCCTATCCTTCAACCCCAGTTTCATTCCTTAATCTCCGTAATAAAAAAATAAAAACGGCGACGAAAGTCGCGGCACTATGAAAAACTCAATGGTTTCTCGGCGCACAGCGCTTCCCCATTAATTCGCCCGCTAATTAAAAAATCGTCTCTTTTCTCCTAATTAATATTAAGGGATGAAACAAAGACTGTTCAATGGAGAATTAAATTCCCTATCCTTCAACCCCAGTTTCATTCCTTAATCTCCGTAATAAAAAAATAAAAACGGCGACGAAAGTCGCGGCACTATGAAAAACTCAATGGTTTCTCGGCGCACAGCGCTTCCCCATTAATTCGCCCGCTAATTAAAAAATCGTCTCTTTTCTCCTAATTAATATTAAGGGATGAAACAAAGACTGTTCAATGGAGAATTAAATTCCCTATCCTTCAACCCCAGTTTCATTCCTTAATCTCCGTAATAAAAAAATAAAAACGGCGACGAAAGTCGCGGCACTATGAAAAACTCAATGGTTTCTCGGCGCACAGCGCTTCCCCATTAATTCGCCCGCTAATTAAAAAATCGTCTCTTTTCTCCTAATTAATATTAAGGGATGAAACAAAGACTGTTCAATGGAGAATTAAATTCCCTATCCTTCAACCCCAGTTTCATTCCTTAATCTCCGTAATAAAAAAATAAAAACGGCGACGAAAGTCGCGGCACTATGAAAAACTCAATGGTTTCTCGGCGCACAGCGCTTCCCCATTAATTCGCCCGCTAATTAAAAAATCGTCTCTTTTCTCCTAATTAATATTAAGGGATGAAACAAAGACTGTTCAATGGAGAATTAAATTCCCTATCCTTCAACCCCAGTTTCATTCCTTAATCTCTGTAATAAAACAATAAAAACTGCCACGAAATTCGTGGCGCTATAAAAAACTCAATGGTTTCTCGGCGCACAGCGCTTCCCCATTAATTCGCCCGCTAATTAAAAAATCGTCTCTTTTCTCCTAATTAATATT